AGCCCTCGGTCGCAGTGCCCGCCCTTGCGTCCGCTCATAGGAAGTGGGGAATGGCGACCTAGGATTTGATACACTGTCTACGTCCTCATTCTCGATATCAATGAAGTCCTCCGTGTCACAGTCCCTATTCCCGTAGGAAATGTCTACGGATCGCTTTGGCAGCATTTGCGGCAGGCGTTTCCTGAACATGGAAGGCGATGGAGCGTGGCGAAGGGGTGAGCTCATGTGTGATAAAGGAGGCGAAGACAATGGAGATGTAGGAGGAGACGACAGAGGCGAAGAATTGGGCACAATGAAGGTCGAATAAAGCGGTGCTGGCGGCCGCTGCGGCGAGGATGGAGCAGAAGTTAACGGCGAAGGTGGAGGGGACAATGGGGTAGCCAACTTCGCGGAGACGCAAGGAGCTCTCGACCTAACCGATGTCTCAATGACTACTTCCGGCACCAAACGTGAGGAACGTTGGGAGGGTGGAGGAGTAAGAGGTGTGTATGAGGTAGCCTGAGAGACAGCCTTCTGTGTTGACCGAGCAGGAAGTTTAATCGTGAGTCTTGCTTGCGTGGGTTGGGACGCAGGCGTATCCCTTGTCTTCTTCGTAGTTTTCCTTCCGCGTATCGATGCAGGCATAGGTACCTGAACCGAAACCTTCCGTTTCTTTATAGGTCTAGGCTCAGTAATTGTCCCCGGTACTTCCTTCCGCTTCTTATGGACAAGGGCGGTCGGTTTACCCAAGACTTTGCTCTTTACCTTCGACTTCGACTTGAACTTAGTCTTAGCTCTAGCTTCCGCCTTGAGGCGCTCTTCCTCTGCGCGAGCTGCCTCAGCCCTCTGTTCCTCCCTTCGCTTCTTCCTCTCACTGGCCTCCTCCTTGACACGCTCCTCTCTCTCAATCTCCGCCTGCACCATCTCTGCAAATGACTGAGCATCCCCTCGTATCCACACGTCGAAGATCCCTTCCCAATCTCGAGTAGGTACAGGGAAGTCCAGATTTAAGTAAATCGTCTTTACAGGCGGGTCCTCCTCCACAACAGGCGATCGTCGCGGTGACGGGGTAGGATACGATGTCGAAGATGATGTAGGCTCCGGTTGCGACGCGGAAGAACGTAAATGAACGGCTTTAGAAAACTCCCGCACCATACGCTTCGTGCCCGGTACGCGCAAGCTCGTTCCCACTACGATCAGAAGGTCTGCTCCGGCTCGCCCCTTCCCCTTTGAATTGCCGATAAGATCTCTTTCGACGACTTCCCCTACTTCCTCTCCGTCCTTATGTAGCTCATTGTATAATACCACGCTCGGTCGTAGCTTACCTATCCCACGGGAGCGTTTCCCCACCGCCTGTCTCGCCTCCTCCATCTGACTACACTCAGGACACACCGGGAACGTACCAGCGTTCAGATCGTCCAAATAATTCTCGAGGGGAAAGGAGTGCAGACAAATCTGGCAATGCATGTTCTGCAACGTGCCATGCAATGGAATGCACCGAGGAGTCTCCGCTGGCGGGGAAGGTAAGCGACCCATTGGTACGGCGGAGGTAGAAGGGACAGAGGTTGCTTGACAGTCTGATTTGCCTTTCGGGGAGCGGGACTTTGAACGCCTACTATCCATCTCTGGAACACCAAATGTAAGGCCTGACTTCAGTTCAAGAGCGTCAATGTTCTGCGTATAAACTCGCAATAGACGTCCGCGGTCGTCCAGTACACGGAGGAGCTGATGAAAAGCTGTAGGTTGCGCTGCCTGGGAGAGCTCTGAAAGTTGTGCGATCATTTGACAAAAGAGTGAGGTTGTGGTTTCGGACTAGGGGTGAGGACAGACGTCAGCTGAGTCTCATTGGGTTACTGGGGACGATTATCAAAAGTCAAGATGACGATATGAATACCTAGGATTCCTCGAAGCCAAGCGATTCATAATGTATCGGATATGCAGCAGATAGGGAGATGATGCACAATTATGAAGCTGTAGGGTGGGTGCGCCTTCCGATGTACGCCACATAGCGACGGCCATGGTCATGGCACTGGCGATACACCAAACATCGCTGTTGGCCTCTCGAGGTAACCAGAACGACGGCGGAGATATGCAGGTGCAAGTGCAGACGACCCGTAAATAGCATTATACTTTCACACCACCGTTCACATGCTTTGGAAGCATAGAAGCCAACACGGTGCCACATGCTGACTGAAATGCACCATCTCTCTCTCTCTTCGGTTTTGAATCCACTGCATCTTCCCAACAATATAACAGTAATACTCACATTGAATACAGATGCGTCGAATAAGTCCTTCCCTGAGCTCAGAGAGGCATGGTCTTTTTTCAGACTCTGAAACAACCCCGTTTCAGATCGAAAATCAGGGATACCTGCCTTGACAGATATCCCGGCACCTTGAAAGTGGTCGATGAGTTAGTACGAAGTCTACGCAATACAGAAGAAGGGGTGCACACCGCATACGACGGCTATGCGCTTCGCTTTGAGTATCGCCTTCACTACCTTTTGGACATGAGCGGTTGGTTCGGAAGAAGGTATCAAGAAGTGAGGTGATTGCGGAAATGGTGATGATGCCTCCAATGGGAGGAAGATCGTCATGAATATATGTCGGTGCGACCCACGAGGGGGGCCGTCTGCGTTGCAAAAGTGGCGGGGATGGTGGGGGGAAAGGTTAGGAGGCCAATGCGGGCAGAGAGTCGTCTCTCAGGCAAGTCAAGAGGATAGAGGGAAGCGCCCAAATCTCATTTTGGAAATTATCTGAACTGATCTGGCACGCGAGTTCGGTGCACGAGCCACGACGACGCTTACGACACACAACTTATCCTATCCTACGCATGGGTCCTCGTAATTAATGCTAGCTGCATAGATTTCTACAGGATATTAAGACTCACAAACATGGCGAAGTTCTAGCGGAATTCAAACTGTTTGTCCCGCGTTCAACGTGTATGCTACCGCTGTTATCTTCTTATTTTGCCGAGATGTACTCACACCCCTCGTCGATTTCAATATAGATAGTCTTCGGGGAGCTTCTGGGAATATATGCGCTCGCATTCTCTGGTGAACGAGGCTTGAAGCTTGAAGCTTGATGCCTGGAATGCCACACTGTGTCGCACAGCCGGAGATCTAAATTCAGGGCCAGAGTCTTGCGGAAGGTTCTACACCACTCCTGCTACGATGTTTAGAACGGATGCGACACACGATGATGCACGCAGCTTTGAACCATCGTGCGTAATTCTCACTATAGCCAGCAGCTCCTGAAGTAATATGCCCCAGACAACAATGTGTATGCTGCTTGTTCCTTAGGCCTTAGGACCGGCGAATAACCCGCAGTGCCGACAAACTCTCATGTGAAACTCCATCCCTTCCCCGCTGTTATATATTAGTCTGTCCCGAGGCATCATCTAGCTCTATGGTTCATTATAAATTTCTGTGAGTCCGAGGGCAAATTCGTGTCGTATCGGCGTGCTGATCGAGAAGTTGGGCAGGTGAATTCCATGCTACAGAAATATGGATAATGAAGGATCTGTTGCTAACATGGTGTACATGGCATATGCTATCTAATCATGATGCACATTTGAAACTTCGCTGACACTTGCGTCATCCTTTGGTGAGTGGGGAGCATCGAAATTGTTATGAAAACAATTGATTTAATTTTACAAATACTGGAACTAATGTGTTATTTAGTATCTATTGCGGGATTCCCAGCTATCTATTGAGGCTGCATTACTTGCAATATCTGATGTGCAGCATCGAGTCACTCGTAAGAGGTAAATCTCCCCTCAAGTTCTGTCAACCTTGCCACGCAAATTCTCCTTCCATTTGACCTCGCAAATAATTATCTTCATTTCTTTTGGTAGACCCCCAGGATAGGCCGATAATCATCCAATTGTTTGGAATATCTAAAGGATGGGCGTCTACAGGTGGAGGATGTACTATCAGCGGGTGACGTTAGGTATGAAGCAATTAATGGGATAGAGGGAGTTCTGATGACGCTTTATTCTCAGCACGAGCTATATATTTTACCAACTCTCAACAGACAAGATTTCCTACAAGTTCTTTTGACTACAACCTTCAATTGCTTTTACTGAGCGCATACATCATGTCTACTTCTCGTAGCCCCTACAAACTCCCGCCTGGCGAGCGCGATGCTGATAAAGTCACATATAATCCTATGGCGGACGATCGCGTCGACAGCGACGAGTTCGACCCAGAGGAGGACACTGAACGCCAGCCCATCGGCGCACGCGGCGCCGATAACGAGCCTACTAGGAGGCATTTTGCAAAAGAGGACATGGAAACTGCCCGTTCGGATGCGACTGGGCGGATTCCCAAAAGTATGCTGCACATTGGATTTCCGATACTCCTCTTACCATGATTCAATGCACAGGCGAGGTTGCTGAGTTGGTGAGTTCCGCTGGCGAGGATACCAGTGGGCTCAACCCATCTGGAACGCGCGGTATCCGTGTGGATGCGTGGAAGCAGGATAAAGAAATGGATAAGATGTACGTTGAAAGTGGGTTGGCCGATGCGGTTCAGGATGTTGAGATCAAGCGGGGAACTGGTTATTCTCAGTAAATTGAGGTGCATTCATGTGCACTTGTATAGTCCTTGCTTTACCTGATTATCGAAACGCATTGAATAATTAAAGATATACAAACGACAGAAAAGAAAAGAAAGGATAATAGTACTCAGCAGCTCCGCATAATCCGGTGCAATACACTGCTTAATAAAGCTGAAGAGGGATCAAATTCAAAGAGCTTCTATATGATGGTGTTACCAGGAGCATTAAGTACCACCACAAAGAAATGATCGATAATCTGGGAGTCCAACGTAGACTTCAAAACCTCTTCCGGACTCCCTCCACCCTCTGGATCAAAAATAATACAGATTGATTTTATACCTAACTTTTAGTGAAGTTTATTCTCTAGAATCTTTACGACTCTCGAGCAATTTAAAAAAACTAAAGGTTGAAGTTAAACTTTTAACTTACTGTTGGTCATACACGAGTAAATCGTGGCAAAAGCGACCAACCTGGGATTCGAACCCAGAATCTTCAGCTAATCCTGAGACACCGGAAACTGACGCCTTAACCATTAGGCCAGTCGGCCTGTACCCATGTTCATAGAATAAAGTCGATGTTAGCTCTAGCTCTGTGGCCGCGTTTGCATTGTTCATCATTGGCCTGTGGTTCTTGCTCTTCCAGAAGGAGGTTCGTCCACTCGCACTTGAGTTCCACAGCGACTGTGACCCTTGTTCTACACACGGTCCAGTCTCATCTCTACATGTCTTTCTTTAACACTACGTCGTCATCTACGGCGGTGGGCACGGCCCCTGCACCAGACAAAGACATCGAGCTTTCCGACCCTCCCACCGATTCCATTTCCTCACTCGCGTTTTCTCCTCAGGCCGACTACCTCGCGGTCGGCAGCTGGGACAACAATGTGAGCATTTTCTTTCTATCTTACAATTTATGGAGCAGAGTGTCTTACTGTCTAATCATCGTCACTGTAGGTCCGTATATATGAAGTCGGTGCAAATGGTCAGACACAGGGCAAGGCAATGTATGCACACCAGGGGCCTGTGTTGAGCGTATGCTGGAATAAGGTGTGTTTGAGTGTTATATGACCTTATTTCTTGCTGTATCGTTTTCCCTTCGTGGCCGATACTCATACGATATCCAAGGATGGTACGAAGCTGTTGTCAGGAGGCGCAGACAACGCAGGCCGCATGTTCGACGTCACCACTGGCCAGTCTCAGCAAGTGGCCCAACACGAAGGGCCGATAAAAGTGGTCAAATGGATCGAGTCGCCGCAAGGAGGAATTCTTGTTACTGGTAGTTGGGATAAAACACTAAAGGTCCGTTTGTTAGCACGCTTGGTCACACACGTCGAGCTAATGAAATCATCGTCCCCTATAAGTACTGGGATCTCCGTGCTCCCAACCCTATAACTAGTGTGCAACTTCCGGAACGCTGCTATACATTGGATGTAGCATATCCATTGATGGTCGTGGGCACTGCTGAGCGTCATATACAAATATTCAACTTAACCAGCCCTACAGCTGCATTCAAGGTATAATACGCTCTTCTAGTGGACTGAAAAATGTTTTAATGGCTAGGCTTCCAACAGACAATGGTATCACCGCTAAAATGGCAGACAAGAGTTGTGTCCTGTTTCCCCTCTGCGAACGGGTTCGCAGTAGGCAGCGTAGAGGGTCGTGTTGCGATTCAGTAAGGATTCCTCATACTGTTATTTGAGACGCATAAGCCTGACAAGACCTATCATTTTAGATATGTAGAAGACAAAGACTCCTCGTAAGTTTTATGGCAGTTCGCTCCTCTATTGATTTTGAACCTGTCTCCGCAGAAACAACTTCTCGTTCAAATGTCATCGTCGGGATCAATCGCCGACCTCGAAGGATCAATCACTTGTCTATGCTGTGAACGATATCACCTTCCATCCCGTGCACGGTACCTTTTCTACTTGTGGTAAGCACTATGTTCACTGTCAAATATTGAACACTGTCATCATGTTCTGTAGGCTCCGACGGAACGATCAACTTCTGGGATAAAGATGCTCGTACACGCCTCAAGAGTATGCACCGAATATTTTCCCCTCCTATTATATATGTCTAATTTGCCCTTAGCTTTTGATCCCGCTCCTGGCCCTGTTCCTGCCACTTGCTTCAATCGAACTGGAACAATCTTCGCCTATGCGATATCGTACGACTGGTCCAAAGGCCATTCAGGGATGACCCCTGGGCATCCCAACAAAGTCATGCTTCACGGATGCAAGGATGACGAGGTGAAGAGGAAGCCAGCTAAGCGGTAAGGGCACCTATGTACGTGCCACTTCATATCGTAGATACTCCTGTCTCCTGTATTTTGGCTGTCGGAAAAGGAGTTTTTATATATCTGTCTTGATATTGTCTTGTATTTTTCCTCAATTCACTACACCATAACATGACGTTCAATGAGCAATCGAGATGAGTTGATGTGTAGCGGCTGTAGGTACTCGTATTCCCCTCCGACATTTTTCGCAATGATATTATATGTATCTGATTTTCAATGGATGCATTCATTTCATTTGAAGATGCATCGGTCAGGGCAAGTTACACGCCACCCTCCGGATACCATTCCTGAAAATAAACTGCACCGATAGCAATATCAATAATCTAGCTCAATTTACCGAACCTGCTACGTGAGACAATTGTGGGTTCAGGGATGGAAGGAACCCCGTACAGTGGGAGCCGTAGTAACTCTCCCTGACATGGATGAGCATCTTATTGGCGAGCACAGCAGATAAACTAAAGGCGAATCCAAAATCGAGCTCATCAAGTGCGAGCTATCAAGGCATAAAGGTCAGGGTTCAGAATGAACTCGGTGAATGAGACACCGGGCCGTCAGGGCACACCCACCACATTGACATTCCAGTGTCAGATTCATGAGGTACACGCCGAAGATACTGAAGATTATGTGAGAGCGAGATGGAAAGACTAGAGTAGGAGAGTAGGAAGAGCTCACGCTGCGAAATACAAGATAGAATCTTTGTATAAAGTCCTGATGAGACCAGTCCTGAAGCTAACCCGAATGGTTTGATATCCCCGGTACGTGCTCAAGCCTAGCAGAATGGATTCGAGGATTAAGAATACCGCTCAATAGTAGGTTGTCCAATTCAACCCGTGAATGGGGCCACTGTCTGTGCACGCGTGAAACTCGTCCGAGGGACCGTTGGTAATTGCACTGCAACGTGTCAGAATATGAACATTATTTTCGCAATGAAAATGAGAATGTTTCACAAAGGTGATATTGCTTACCGACGTTAAAATCGCGAGAAATCACGGACAGGAGGGAGAGTGCCAAGGCCTCAGCAAACGTGAGGTACACACAGAGACCCAATAACAACTTGGAAGCCTCGTATATAGCATAAATGCGCAGCTGTAAGATTGCTGCAAAGATGATCTTTCTCTTGTGATTGGGCGAGACAGTCGATGTACGTGCTATGCGAGGCTATCACTTGCAACCCCCACCGACAGGACGCCAGCGTAAGAAGTGGATACCTTAGTGATGCGAGAATGAGTCCGATGACGTCCACTGCAAGGAATGATAGGGACGTACAGCTTCATGATTGGGGAAAGTAAAACCAGGTAAAAAATATGGTCAAGTAAAATACACATTGTTAAGTAACGGACCACAGCTTCATGGACTTTTTGATTAGTATGGATAACATAAATTCTGATCGCATGCGAGCTCACCTTGAGAGAAAGATTATTGTTCATATACACTGTTAAGGACGTTAGCACATCCGAGTCGTAGTCTAGTGCAAAGGAGTGCAAAAACGTACGTATTGCATTCCCTTTTGTCAGAGAACGAGATCATTTTTAACGGATGTATGGTAAACTTACATGCTGAACATAAGACTGTAGTAGCGATTCTTCGCATAATCGAAGAGTGAGATATGAATGTAAAGCCGTCGACAAAGGATGACTTGCCCACAGTAGCAGATAATTTTCCTATAGAACGTGTTTTTCTCTATGCAGAGAGGTAAGTGTGAACTCGGGTCAGTTACATGTAGGTAGCTCACCCAAAATAAATCAACCTCGTTACTCAATTGTATCACTGCAGTGTAACATCGAAGATAGTCTGAGCTTATGCAAGATGTAGTCGCTTTCCTGAAAGCCTACAATGTTCATATATGATAAGAGTCGCAGCTGCAACTTGAATCGCCAAGCCGGTCTGATCAACATAAGTTGCGTAGAAAGAGGACAGACATAGCACTCACTAAACAATGACGCTCAAGGAATGTATTGTTGACGATCCGCGCATACTGGCAGACCTCAAATCGGATAGAGCCACATGCTGGTAGCACCATCGTAGTGAAAATACTGTTTAAATACATACGTGGTCAACGCCATATAGTAAGCGCGACGAGACAAGTTGTGATTGAGTACCCCTCAGGTCTTGGCTGAGATAAAACACTACACCTCGGGTTTCTTCGGCCAATGGCAAAGGCTTTATTTTTACTGCTGCAGACCGTAAGAGACCGTATCACCGGTGAGCACACCTTGTAGACCGAGGTAGACCGGTGGTTGAAATGTTAGAGTTTTGAAGCTCGATTGGACACGCACCATACAGGTGTGATAGCAGAACTCACATTTAGATAGGCACAGTCTTCATATAGCTTATATGAAAGCTGAAACGTCCCGGCTGTAGCGTCCGCTCGGTCAGACGAGCCAGGGACAGCATCCTGGTGCATGTCAAGGGCAATTTCAGTCCAGTCTAGATAGACGTAGTCAAAGTCAGCGTATACGTTGGAAGTGCCGGGGCCCGACTGTGCAACCGATAATTCAACAACAAGATACTCAATGACTGACATATATATTGCACGCACCCTTATGGCAATCGAGACGACTCCTTGCGTCCTGAACGATATGGTTCAGAATCCGGAACACCCACGGTCTCTATCAATGCATCTCCCCACTCAGAAAGTCCCAAACGGTGCGTGCCACAGCTCAGATGGCGCACGACTGTCGGGAAGGACTGAGGTGGGGTATCGTGATTTTGGGGTTAAGGCTTCGTTCCTCGAGGTCTGAAAAAGATATTGATGTTTATTGGTAATGTCGAATCTAGCAGTATGCTGCCCAGTTTAGTTGAGGGTCCACTCGCCGAAATCATGTCATTATGCAACGCTAAGTGGTAAAGAAAGCCAGTAACTTGGTATCGGTGTGTAGCCTGAGGTTGTATGCTAGAATGTGCCGGTCTTGATATGTCTGAGCGCCGATTATGATGCGGGGTGGAAGGAGCGTGGGTCAAGTTCATAATACATACTGAGTACCTGGAGGAAATTGTTTATAATGGACCAGGCACTGGCGCTTTGATTCCCGAGCCTTTCCATATAAAGCAATTCCCGCCTGATGCGCGCGCTCCGATGCATGACTATCACCGCTTCTTGTCCATTGATAATAGACACGGACCCGAATCACAGCACAACAAATGACTGGTACGGATGGACTCCTTTCGCAGCCTATCCTAGCCTTAATTGACTATCGGGCGTTTGGACGGAGTTTGGACCACGGCCTGAGCTCACAAAGCCAAATTGACGCTTTCAAG